TTGGGGGGGGGGTGGGGCTAAGTTGCAAATGCTAAGGGTTGAAAATTTAAAATTCATTAATGATTGTGGGTGTGCTAAGACTCCAGGACACATGACTTAGCATATGCTGAATTTCGCGGTAGTCAACAACACCATCACTTAATTCCTAGTGAAGCGGTATGCTGCCCAAACCACAAGGAACAGTATCTCTATAGGAAATTATTAACTTCACTAGAAGTTAAATAATTCCTGATAATTTTTAAGTGAAAATAGAAAGGTGGGGGGGGGGGGGAAGGAACCCTAGAAAACAAATAAATCCAGCACAATCAGTGGCTCCATCTATATTTTAGAATAAGAGCTGAAGCAGTCACAAGTCCCGATTCTCCTCTTACATACAAAGAGAGGTAAATCAGGATTATTCCACTGATGTCTGGAAACAGTGATATAAAATTGGGATAGCAAGCTTTTTCTTTTTTTTTTTTTTTTTAAATTTGCAAAAGTAACAGTGATTTTTCTTTCATTATATGATGCATCACAAAGCAACTCCATAAAACTTGTCCATATCACATATCCTGTCCTACTCACAGTGATAATAAGGATGGAGTTCTATATATAATGCTTGTGCGCTCTAGGATCAATTTAGATCTCTGAATTTACAAGTATAACAGATGATCTGTTGTAAAGATCAATTCAATTCTATTTGCATATACTCTTGGGCAAAATCAATTAGGCCATATGATGGAACAAAATTTGGTCCATTATTTAGACTTCACTGAAATATGGAGAGGTCGAGGTGTAAACCTGAATTAGATGTTTATTCTGTAAATTGAAAGTTTTGCTGGGGTGAAGGGGAAAGAGGAAAATTTGCTTTAGAATTGAAGACCTTGAAAATAAGTTGCTGCAAATTCTAGTTTAACAGAGGGGGGGAATTGAAAGATATCATGTTTACCATTGAGCTACAAACTTGTATTTTATCTAATTCTACCTCATAAATAAGCTATTATACTGTGAGCTCCTGCAGGAGGAGGGGGGAAAAAAACCAAACAAAACCTCACAAAACAAAACCCCCCAAACCCCCCACAACAATCAAGCAGTTTGTTGTGAGGGAACGGATAAATCTTTTTGTTCCTACTGAATAAGCTGCTGGCATTACAGGTGAAACATTCATGGTAATTAGTTGAACCTGTGCTTCAACCCCACCCCCACCCCGAGTTTAGATGTGTTCCTTAAGGACAATCTGTAATGTATGGGAGGAGCTGTCAAACTTAATCTTTGGGTCCCCCTAGTCCCTCCCCCTCCCCTCCAAAAAGCATATTTTGGTAGCTAGCATACCTACCCACATGTTCCCTACTGCCCTTTTAAAAGAGAGACTTTTAAGACTCTCTGAGTTCAAACAAGACGTTTGAGAGATGCTTAATTGGCCCCACTGGATGGGAAAGCATTAAATCCTGGTCCCCAACACTCATTTGGTGTAGCTTCTTTTTAAATGGCAAGCAGAATCATCTAATTCTATATACAAATCAACTAGCACGATACTGCTTGGTTGAAAGGGTCACCACAATTATGTAAAACATGAGTATTAACTATAATTGGGATAGTTTGCTAATACAATAAAAAGCTCTGAACATGAGAAAAGTTATGCTCACAGCAGTAGCTATCACTTTCTAAAGTAAGAATTCATGGATGAAATGACATGAAAAAGATGGTTATAAAATTTTAATGGAATGATAAAAGGCAAAAGTCAGCCTCTCAGCTGAATTCTTAAAATCCCTATATATCACAATCAGCTCCTTAACTGTAAAATCAATGTGGAGTATAACATGTTGTCAATGTGGTTGTCACTGGAGGGAAGACTGCAAAGTATGACAGCTACACAGCTTAGCCTGACAATGATGAAAATAAAATCATAAAGCTTTTTACATGGATGTAATTGTTTATATAAGTAACTACTGAACATTGGAACAGTGGGCATCTTTTTCCTTAAGATTCCTAGTTCATATTTCAAACCATTTCATTACAGTATTAATACTAGAAGGTAGTCTCATTTTGGCAAATGAAATTATCTTTTATGGCAGGCTATTTTGCTCATCTGCTTCAAAAGTTCAGACTCGACTTAAAATGAAGGCACAAAATTGTCATTAATCTTTTTTAATTCCCTGACTGGAACCACACATTTGTTTACTTATTGTACAGACTGGGGGAGCAAGGAGCTATACTCTCATGGATGTATTTCAGGGAACCTATACTTTCATTAATAGGCTGAGACACGTACCTGGACTACTGCCCTTTAAAGCTAATGAGAAATACCTGATTTGCTGGGGAAACTCTCTCACTAAGCAGAATAGAAATTCTGTGCCTTTGGTTCTTGAATCATTTACTCTTTTCAGGAACACGGACAATGAAATTATACATATTAACAAAATGCGGTGTCTTTCATATACTACCAACTGTATCCTGCAGAAAATCCAAATTGTGTAGCTCTGGGCACAAGGGATCACAGGAATCTTGTATCACATCAGATCACAGAACTCAAAAGTCGTTAAGCTGTTCATGCAATGACGTGCAGTCCATATGAACCCCTTCAAGCCATCTTCAGAGTAATCAGACTTTTTGCCCTCTACTGCTCCAAACGCACATTGGTTCCAGAACCTCAGCCTACCAGTTAAGAAACTTCTAATTCCTAATTCATTGGCATGCATGGGGAGTTTGTGCTATTTATCATACGATCATCATATCATGTCTGCCACGATACTACTTAATCCTTATTTATGTCCTTTTGCTATATACCCCGTCACGTATTTCACATGACTTTCGCTTCCCTTCATCACCTCACCAGGTTTTGTCTTCTCTTGCTTCAGTTTCCACTTGTCTGCCTTGAGCACAGGTGACCACACTCACATCAACTAACTATGGATTAGTTTATATGCCTAAATTAAAAGGATCTAACTTGCATAGCTGAAGTAGGAGACTTGTCTTCTCAAACAACGCAGCAGAGAAAGCAAGCACTTCCAAAAGCTGAGAACTGCATCATCTGCCCTCCTGCCCTGCATTGCCTCTCTCTATTGTCTACATAAGGAAGCTTTAAGAGAAGAGACCTCCTCATCCTGGAACCAAAGCTGTGTGGTAAGTGTGCCAGAGGAGCACACCATAGCACTCTATATGATAGGAATAATACTTCCCTGTTTTGTTGAGAAGTAGCTCAGCTGATACATTGCAGGAGTTCTCTCTCTTTTTTTTGTTTAATTGCTTTTTTTCCTCTAGCAACTTCCATACGCAATGATCTCAAGTGACTACTGTGTACTTTTGACATTACTTATTGTGAATAAACATTGGACTGGCCTGTAACTTCTTTATACATAAAAGAGATGGACTTGCAGTCACTTATGTAAGAACTAAAAGTAAAAAATTGGACTGCCTGGCAGGCAACTTGCAAAACCTTCTCTCAACTACTGCAAGCCACTTGCAGTAAGGGCTTCAGTGAGTTCTCCATACTGGAATTGTACACTGACCCATGGGATTGAAATGAAGAGAACATGCTGGTGACTGAGATGTCCTGCTGTACGCAACTCATTGGACTGCAGACAGTTTCTGGGACGCTCAAAAGAAAGGAACAGGCAGCTTTTCTCTAAAGTACCAATTTTGCTAGCTTAAAACTTCTCCAAATCAATATGGATTTTCTCAAGCACTAGAAAAAGCACCTTTCTTCATTTGATCAAAGATTACACCGTGTGGATTGCTATCAGCCAATATAATGTTGTGGATCATAAAGCTACACCATAAGAATGCAGTAGCTGCCATTGGGCCAGCTTCAGGTAGCTATAACCAACTCCTTTACAGCTTCCTTCTTGGACAGCTCAAAGACTTGCCATAACAAAAGGGGAAACTTAACTGATATCTTCTTTTTTTTTACATCTAGAAAATATAATTTTATTTCTGAATAAAATCCGTGAAATTCTGCTCTCAGTTCAATGGTACGTACTGACCTCTCAGTTCAGTGGTGATTACATCGATTGCAAGAGTTATCTTAAATTTACATTCAAGTTACTGAAAGCAAGATCTAATCCAGAAACTTCATCAACTGTTTCTATTTGTCTGGCAGTAAATAGTCTGATGCTATACTGACCAAGATCACTGGAACAAACATCTTTTATTAACACATGTTTAACAGGTTTTAAAATATTCATAGGATGTGTATGTTATTGTTATCTGGCAGGTTAGACTTTTAAAAATGCATGGAATCACTTACTAGTGCCACGCTCATGTAAATGGAAGTATTCGAAAATTATTTACAGCATTTTTTCTTGCATTAAAAAATACCCCAAACCTACTAATGTGTATATGGAGACGTTTTATTATTAGATACAACAAATTTTTATGGCAGCATTTGCTAATTTTTCCTTAATCATTCCTAATATCCTCCTAGTTTACTAAATATTAATCATAAATAGAGTATAATATGCAGATATTTGTGAAATTGTCAGCTTGTATTAGTAGAACTCTATTCACTTTAAAAGTGGATGTTTTGATTTACGTCTATTGCTATCAGGTGTATGAGCACATAAACACACACACACTCATTTCTTTTATTCCTACAGATATTTTATGCTTTGGTGAAACAAAAAAGACGAATATTCACTGCATAAAAATCAATAAGAACATGTGCACATGCATATATTTCAACAGAGTAAGAGATATGGGAAATTTCTTCTGTCAAATTGTACTTTAAAAAGCCAACGTCCAGTGGTTAGCAGGGCCAGGAATTAAGTGTACTTCCATAAGAAGCTGTCAGTATAGGCAGTTTTATAAGAAACCTTGACAGAAATAGTGCTTATACCCAGTGACAATCATTCAGTCTTAAGCAATTGAGTTGAATATCCTTTCACAGATGGTAGCCCTCCACAATGACACCAAACCCAGAGTCCTTTGTCACCACTGAAAGTTGGAGGGGGTTTTGTAAATTACAAGGGTTATTGGATACTGGGGACACGTCAGCATGTATTCTGTAGCAGTATCAGTGCAAACGGAAGAGGACATTTTGAGGAAAATAATTTTCCCCTTGGAGACATGGAGTTTACAACTGAACTACAGAAGTTTGTTTCAAGCTAAGGAACACGATGTAGCATCATAGCCAAAGAGGTGAGTTGTTTGTTAATATTTCGATTGTGTAAACCCTGGCAGAGGCATTATATTTTTCTTTTCTTGTTCTTAAATTTCCTTTGGCAACATCTACCTTCCATACTAACTTAAGGCATTTTTGCAGTGAGGTTTTGCAGAGGGTAACATTTCGTGCTAGTGCACAAAGACTGTCCAAGTTCTATGCAGCAGGTAACTTCTACACATATGTTCAAGAAGACTGTATAGGAATGTATATCCTATGAAGGCCTTCTGCCCTATCCTTAAGTCCCAAAAAGAGAATTTGAAAGTTCTACACCTACTACTTTGCACAAAAAATAAATTTTACATGTACTAACAAGTGATGCCTTTTAAATGTACTTCTGTTCTCGTCCTATCTAAAAAGAAACAACGTTATGTGAACTATCAGACCAAAGCTAAATAATCATTGCAATTTGAATTAAATAGTCATAGGAGACTGGTTGCATTTAGATCATGAATGTAGACAAGTTTAATAATATTGTATCCACTTTTGGTAGCAAACAATTACAATAAAGGAATTGAATCTCACCGAAGATTTTCACAGGTAGATAACACATCTTCAGCATGTAAAGACCAAGTTCAGAACTTACTTATATTAGGTAATTACTTATAGGTAATGTGTTCATAGATACACTTATACCTTTGGAGCGTAAATGGATTTATCAGATAAATTTCTGTTGTGAATTATTTGCTCAGCTTCAAAGAAAAATGTTTTACAATTGTGGGAACACATGTTTTCTTCTGGGTGTTTTCTCAAGATAGACAGCTATCCATTTAGAGAAAGGACTAAAATGAAGTTGAGTCACCAGCACTGACTATTTGCTATGACAATTGCATATGAGCACCAGGTTAAATTTACGGTCTGAAATGCAGATATCATATCAGTGTAAAATCGAGTAAGACCACAAGGCACTTTGGGGTGGAGGCAGAGAAAGCAACACAGTGATGAAACCACTAATGAAACATCCCCCACTCTGCCTTTTCCTGCTTACTTACGACTTACTTTCTTGTTAAACAACTCTTTAGAAAAGACTTAATTTCTCTAAAATTTAGTACATGGGGTCAACCATTACTGATTTAAAAAAAAAAAAAACAGCAAAGAATATGTTTGAAAACAACAGATTTTTCCAAAAAGTGTGCTATTAGATATCCTGCTACATTGTAAGAGAAAACTAATAGCTCAGTTTCTTGAAAAAAGCTGAAAATATGTATTTTGTATATGTATTACATACAACAAGCTCAAGTTTTGTCGTATATTGTATCAGGTGCAAAATCCTACCCTGCCAACTAAATGGCTACTGATACCTGTTTGTAAGATCAAGGAACTGTTGAACAAATTACGTGGAGTGAGACTGCAGAACATAGAACTATTAATGAGGCAAGTGATGGGACTGGCAATGACAAACTCAATTTCAGACGAGTAGATCACCACTTTGAATTAGCAAAGATCACTGGGAATGAAAAGTTCTGTTCAGCTGTGGTAAAGCTTAGGTACTCTCAACACAGAGATAAGACACTGTCATATATTATTAACTTCAACTTATTTTCTCTGATATGACTGAAATCAAAATCAAGGCCCTGAATACAAAGGAATACCACTTACAAAGCTGTACGTACCAGTGCATCTTAAAGTAACTGTATATGAACACATATGCATGGAAGGATATTATAAAACGAAATTATACTACTTCACAAAACATATATTTAAATATTCATGTTTTATGAAAATCTAAGACAGCAGATACTTGATCCCTTAGGAGTTATTATTGCAAGTTAATATTCAGGAAGGAAATATATTATTGCTGTTTAACTGAGAAAGCTAGATAACCAAAAGAAATTTAAGTGCAACGGCAGCTGAACTGTTATATATATTTTCTGCTAAAGGGAGTTAAATAAGATCGGACTGCTTACTGTCCTCTGCTGTAGTCATTGACGTCCACTTGCTATAAGCATTGCCATAACCATTGGAGGCAACCACTCTCATCTCATACTCGGTGTATGGCTGAAGATCTCCAACCCTGTGTTGTAAGGAAGCAGTAGGGCTGGAAAGCAAACTGCAAAAAAAAGCAAGATGAGTGGCATCGTTAAACATTCCAGCACCTAAAGAAAGACTAAAACATTACACGTCTTGTAACAAAACCAGCCACCCTAAAGCTGAGCCATATTCAAGATAATGGGACTTTTCTTGCTCAGCAGTTGATGGTGGCCTTGCTATAGTCTGCGTACTCTAAAATGTCACCAGCAGAATGCCTCCGCCGCATCTGGAGTCGGTAGCTGGGCGTGCCTGGGGCGTTGTTGCGAACTGGTGTAGACCAGACAACCTGAAGACTGGTCGGAGTGGCAGATGAAAGCCTTGGAGGCATCACGCCATCTGGAGCTGTCGAAAAACATGGATGAATTAGAGCAGAGAAAACCATGGAGAACATATGCCGGGTGGAAACAAAATGCTCCATATACTGGAAAAACTGTTCCTCAGGATCAACAGCAATGTTAACATGGTCCATTTAGTTTAACATTTTCACTACTGAACAATGCTATTTCCTTATTTTCTTCTTTCCAATCGAGCTACGTGAGTATAATTTTGCTAAAAGCAAACCTCCAAATACCAAAAGTAATTCAGAAGCAACATATTCTCTACCACCTGTTCAAATATTATCTATTTCTCCTTGTGCCCAGCTCTGCCACCTCGAGAAGTTAAAGAAATGCTCATGGAAGTGTTAGCCAGCAAGAGTAAAATTGATCAGACTTTTTATCATTCAGATACATTCTCACTCTTATAAATTAATAATATTTTAAAAAGAAAACAGCAGAAATTTTAAAGGAAAAAACATCTTTAGGTAGAAATGAAAATAGATACATGGAAGTCTCAGCCTCTAGCCCACTGTTTTGTTAAGGAAATTAATTTTTATGAAGTCCAGGAACTGCAGATCAAAATCTGTCAGTAATGATACCACCAATGACCTTTAACTGCTGCAAATTTCACTGCGTGCAGTGAAAAGAACTATGCCAATTTGCTCCCCTGAGTTTATGGCATTGTTTTTTCTTTAAGAAGAAAACAATCTGTTGAAGAAACTTTCTGTATATAAACACATCTGGAACTTTTATATATTATGCGTGTCTGTAGCAGTAGCTGTGTAGCTCTTTTCCAGAGAGTTAAAACACTGGAAAGTTACTGCCTTTGTCATTTAAACTCTTGCATAATAGTTTTGCTTTTCATGGTCCAGTAGTTACCATTTGCTTCTTTCTTCGGTCTTTCTAACAGATATTTTTTGTTGCTGTTATTTTCTTCCTTCTCTCTATTGGAAAAAAAAGTCTCAGAGATCTGTAACTTAAGGCGTAGTTGTAAGCCTCAAGGCATAAGTTGTAAGTTGTAATATGAGCGAACAGTATTTTACAGTAAGTTTTATGATTTTCATTTACCACCTGTATATGAAGTGGTTACTAGGAGGAAAGTAACAGACTTTGTGATACACTGTCTGAATCATTTTCTCCCTGAAACAGATGAAAGGATGGCATTGGCTTGGAAACAAAAAAGTTATCAGTCATATACAATAGTTTTTATTTATACTGACACATACCCACAGAAATATGTGAACTAGTACCTGGCTGCTTTACTCTGATGATACATATTTATGACTGGGGAACTTCAAAATTCTTCAGCTCCAGCTCCAAACTGTATTACGTAGAAAGGCACAAGACATATCTTGCTCCAATCCAGAGATTTGTTCCCTTTCCCTCAAGTTCAAGGTCTGCCAGTTCTCATAAGAAATTTTTACTAAAAGCTGGCTACTGGGGTACCTGAGTTATTACCAGGTATTTTACTTCTGAGAATTGGCCCCTAGCCCTGCAACCCTCTTGGTTTTTTTCAGGACAAGATGAAGTGGAACAGGATCTCCAGCTTACCTCACTCCCTTCCCCTCCTCTCTGCTATTGTGAAAAAGACAACATAAAATTTCTGGGCTTCAGCCAGCCTGACTGCCTTTGGATGCTCCCTCCTGCTGCTGTTACTAGACCTAGGCAATAAGGCTCCAGTAAATCCCGAGTAAACTTGAAATCTTCCTGTTTCCAAATCCAGGAGATGCCTGAGACTGAGGTAATTCATGGTCTGCAGATCCCTTGCCAACACCTTCAAGGCCAATCAAGAGCTTGTGAGCACCTCAACTCAGAGGGAAGAAGATGGCTGATTTAACTTGAACAGCCCCCAACATCCCTCCAGCTGAGCCATCAAAACCAAACATCTGCACACCAAATGCCTCTGTATGTGAATCAAATTTCACTCTCAGAGTAAAATGGAGAGCACATATTTACCTCACTTAACATTGTTCTGTTTAGCAGCAACATAGCTACTGTTGGAGTTAAGTTGTGCGATAAGGGGGTTTGAACCTTATGGATGTAGAGTAGGTAATCATGAATTATTTTGGCATCCCTTTATAAAGTGATTCCTGAAGTTGGTAGGAGGCAAACTCGGCCAGCATGAGAAAGACGGCACAACTAACGTAAAAACTTTTATTACAGGGTTTTAAAAATGCTTTCACAAGCTGACACTAACAGAAAGACTCGATATCCCTTCAAAGCAGGCTACTACCTGATTTAAAACTGAACTGTCTGTAGCTTAAAATGCACCAGTAGTTTTAAGTGCACACAGAAATTCTACACAGCAAAACTAGCTACATCTAAAAATTAATCTAATTAGCTGAGCTGTAATTTGGCCAGGAAGCCAAAGTTCACATTGTTATTGAGGAGACAGTGTGTGTAACTCACTGAGGAGGCAAAAGTGTTAAATTTATTTCCAGTTCCATCAGGACACATCACTTCACCTTTGGCTTTCATTTCTCAATCTGTTAAATGGAGATAATAATACTTATCCTTCTTTGTAAAGCTTTCTGAGATCTATAAAGTAAAAGCTCCAGTTAAGCTTTATGTATGTATAGTGGTGGTTATTACAGCGATACAGGAATGTTCATCAAAAAAACAAAGATGTAGCTGTCTAAATGTCAATAACAATTCATAGTGCAGATGTTATTTTAATGGCGTAGGTAATCTCAGCTCAATGTTCAAATCTCTTCTACCAACAAAAGCACAGCATAGGGAAGAGTAGAAAATTTGGACAAATCTCTTGTGAAAGTCAACCGACCTGAAGAACAAGCCGAGCCCACTACTTTCAAACCGACGTGTTAGAATATATGGCAAATTTATCTCATTTGAAAGACATCTCGTAGGTCTCAGAGAATGTCCTCAGCTATGCACGAGAGCCAGTGTCCTCAGCTCTGTGATTCAAACAGGAATAGGGCAGGGGGACTGGAAGGTACGACAAAGAAATTGTCGAGTCTCTGCTGAGTCGTAATAAGAAAGGTGCTCTGTTAAACTAATCACACTTTGATCATTAAAACTACAGAGCACTTCCCCCCCAAAAAATGGTAATTCTAAATTGCACACAAAACATCCTTTGAACATTTCAAACACTCCTCATCACCAAGGTCTTCAGTGTAACATTTCCCTCAGCTTAACCCTTTTTATCCAATCCATATTCCCGAGAGACTCCTTACTACCCAAGTAATAACTGGCAACCAGCAATAATTCTGCTGCGAATTTCTCAACAGAAGAGCCATGTATCTATCAGCTTGATATATTGTCTTTAAGATGCAATGTTGCTCAAAAAGCTCCCCTCAAGCTTTAATATGACCCTCAGGGGGCAACCACTCCACCTGCAACCTACTGAATCAACATCTAGCCCAGTAAATCCTCACTTAGCAGGGCAGAAAGTCACGCTTTGTATATGAAAAGACTACAAAGGCAGAATAAAATGTTTAATCAGATGTCAATTTTAATCAAAGAATTAATAAACAGCCCCAAAAAATAATAAAACCCGAAGATTGTTTCAAGCTGACAATGATATATTGTATTGCAGATACTCAGGTATATGCAGCTGAGTCAAGAAAGATCTGATCCCTGCTCAGCCACTAATGTGCGAAGCAGTCTTGGAAAAGTGTTTTAACTTCTTGCCTCAATTTCCTTATCTTAAATAACATATGCAGTAGTAGTCAGCTTTCTAAGTATTTGTTTATTTTAGGACAGCAAGCATTGTGTTAAATAACTGTGCTTAAATGTTTACTCCATGTTGAAGGCCTGTATTCATTATATTTATCATAAGGATATATCTAAAATTTAAATTTTCTGAAAGTAGATGGCTGTAAGTAGGACTGTTAAAAGTGAACTATCATTAGGACAATAAATTATTATTTATTTATTACAATATCTGCACTATTAATCTTAATAAGAGGGAGAAAAGCCAGTAGAGCTTGATTTGATATCTATCAACCTGGTGTAAACTCACACCAATTTTGACGTGAAGCGACACCACTTTTAATAGTGATCAGATATGTTGGCCCTGCTGTATCCATAATATCTGCAGACAGGCAGCTAGAAGAGTTTGGAGTTATGTAAATGTAACTTTACAATTTGCCACATCTGCACGTGTAAAATATTTAGCACAGATGATGCATTTGCATCTTATCAAAATATTTTTTGTACACGTGTATGCAAACGATAACTGCAGGTATTTAACTACAGAGAAGGAAAATAGGCTCTCCACAGTCTGTGCCATAACGGCAAGGAAAAGTTTCAGTCAGACTGCCTTTACAGGAATGTCTCACTCAGTCATGCCTACTCTCACTCTTTTCCAGGTTCAATTCACAAACCCCATTTCTTTATCTTATTCCAGTGATTGCTTAGATACTCCCGATTCATTTTCTATTTTAGGTGCCCACACTGAGATCATCTCATGTCGGCACTTTTTATGGCAATATGTTCTGCACGTTGACATTTGTTTCTCCTGATTTTGCCAGGTATGCCTGTTATCTAGCTGTTTGCTCAGTCCAAATAATTCCAGTCATTGCACTCTCCATAATTCTCAACGTGGCCATGTGTTTTTGTTTCATTTAACCGAAAGACAGGCCATGATGCTGGGTCATATGTCATCACTAGAAGGGCATGCTAGTTATAAACCTTTATCTATTGGCAAAGCAGAAGATTGCTTTTTTGTTTCTTATCTTCACAGGTTCATTGAAGTTTACTCCGGGTTGGTTTTTAACCCTCTTTTCCCAGCTATCTTTCCTACTGAGTGTATAGAAAATACACATGGTTGTTCTTGATTTTCATTTAATATGTATGTTCAATCATGTTGTTTTCCACCTACTTAATGCCTAAAGAATGCATAGAGTCTTCCTGGATTTTTCTTTTTAATTTCATAATTTCACTGATACATGTTTTCCGTTACAGATATATCTCCGGCTACTAATACATATACCAGGGACAACGCACCCCTTATTCAACACACATCCATGCGCTTTGGAATGTACAATGTGAAAGGTCCATGGT